TAATAAAATGCAATTTAATAGATAGTTAAACTCAACAAACTACTTATTTGTATAGTTTTATTAAGTTCTTTTCTAAACTCAAGAATACTAATGAAATAGAGCAATGGGATGAGTTCCTTTTTTTTCCAAATGGCTAGATTTACGATTGAAAAAAGTGATGAACACTTGAATAACACTAAAATGTATTATAGTTTAAAATATCATAAAATCTAAAAACAATTACTTTATAAGTTTTCATTTATCATATGAATATGATGTAGATGGGGGGCTTTGAATTAAAGACTTGAGTGAGAAATATTTTTACTTAAACCTTCATAAATTTTATGTCTCACTCCTATATACTAAACACCCCAACTTTATAGCATTAGTTTCTCTCTATCCTATATGGCTGTTGAAAATAGAAAATTAAATATTGTGATAGAATTTTAGCTTTAAAATCTTACTTAGGTATTTTTAGCTCTCAAATATTGTCTGATATATAACTTATGTATAACATGGCTATAAAGAAGAGGGCAACAATCATGGTGTAATACTAGAGGATTAGGGGAAAAACTACTTAGATATCAAATTGTATTAATCATGAAACACTTATAAAATACAAGTCCCTAAATCCCAAAGTAGAGTCGAAGGTGAGGTAGTGGTTGAGGCAAAAGTTCAATGAGCATAACATATTTGGACTAAAGTTTTGACTCAAAAAGTCGAGAGTGGAAGTGAGCTCTTAAAGAAGTGTTTGAGGAATGAGCACAAAACGATTAATAAATGAGTTTTTAAAAAAGGACAAAAGAATGACTAACATGTGGCAATTATTGTAATATATGAAAGTGTTGAGATAGAATACAAAACCGAATTCAAGACCAAGTCTAAAACAACTCCAAGATTGAGTCTAAAATTAAGTCTAGAATCGAGTATTAGACCAAGGTTGAGACCATATCTAATGACAAAAATATTTGAAGGTGGGGTGAAAGCCCAAGACAATTTTTTCCCAAACATTAAGGGGTTTGATAAGTTTTTATGGGATAATGAAGGGAAGATTATAAAGAACCAATATGAAAAAGAAAAGTTATTTTTATATAGTGGGTGATGATATAAACATTAAGGAGTCCAAGATTAAATTAAACATGAATAGATAAATTGAATGATTTGGTGAAGTGTTTAATAGCCAACTCTAGCTCTTCCAAAACATTGAATAGTCGATGCTCTCAATCCAAGTGGGGGTAATACTATTTGGATATTTTGTATAGCTCATTAGAATTTTAAGAATAATTTTCTTTAAAAATATTTACATTTTCCCTTATTAAAACAAAAACAATAGGATGAAGTGTGCTAGTTTTCTTCTTTGAGATTAAATTTTTGTTTATTCTTGAAGTTGATTTAATCTTTCTTTGATATGTGTTAAAAGAAGCTAATCCCCACAATCCCCTTTCCCCTTTAAAATCTTCAAAACATAGCATTCTCATCTATGATTTATATTAGGATTGAAGAGTATTCATAGATCTAAATTTTTTGCCAAAAGAAATAAAGGAAATTAGAAAACTTATAAAGATTTAAATAAATATCTGAGAGATAAACTTATTACCCTTAGAAGAAAATTAGACTGTAAAAGAGGATTCAAGTAGGAAAGAACATGCAATAGTGAAGAAAACTTTACTCTCACAAAACTTATTTGAATGAGGAAAAAACTAAATATCATATCTACCTTCTTCCCTAACCTAATGACACAACATTGCAAAAAATATTCAAAAAAATGCATAGTGAAAAAACAATATTACCCTTTATTTAATAACATCAATTGGTGAGATCAATAAAGTTCAACATTTCTTTTTATTGTTATAAACTAAAGCTGCTTAGCAAATGCTAATCAGTGCAATCTTTAAAACTCTTTGAGTAAAAATAGATTCAACTCATAAAAGGCAAAAAATAGGCAAAAACTTATCCACTCTATAATTAATCTCTGCTTCTCAATACATTTTATTATATTAAACTACTATTATAATAATCTCAATAATGTAATATATCTTGTAATCAATATATTTTACTTCCTTAAGGAAAAGTATGCACATGTTAGATTCTATTTTTCTTGATACCTTTATTGAATACTCTTAAAGTATATCATGGACCTAGCAAAACATAAATGAAAAATAAATAAGCTGAGTTGATGAATATACTAAGATGGAATGATGCACTTGTTCATATTATAATAAACAGGCTAAGTTGATAAGCATACTAAGATAAAGTGATGAGTTTATCCATACCATGTGTGGTTGGAATGTGTTCAATAAATGCATCACTATGCATTCAAAAGACCCTTAACAAGTTAAACTACCCTCCATACAACTATTAACTCTTCTTAAATTAGTGAATTTACAAAATACTAAAATTTGCAATTAAAGATAAAATCAATACTTAGAAGTAAATAAACTTTCAAAGCTCAATACTTATTAAATCCAAAAGAGTTCTAAAGTACGAGAAAATAATCAAAGTTCTTGATGTCAAGTGCTCTTTAGAAACAAAAAGTCAAAAACAACTAAGGTAGGTTTAGGGTGTTTAAAGTGTTTATCTTCCTTTTAACTTGATATAAACAAAAAGGGGGAAAATACATTGTAAAAGCTTTACAAATTTAAAAATTTGATATTGCTTATTTATATGCTCAAGAAAACCATTGCTAAACC